CGGACCAATATGGTATCAAGTTGGATGGCTTGCAGTATCTAGACAATTCGGTCCGGACGTTTTGAGGGTCCAAGTTGGATGCCCTCATGTCCTTTCACTAAAACACAGTTGTTTCTCTCTTCCATGCCCCTTGATGAAAATACTTTCCATGAAAAGGCATGCCCTTTAATAATGTCTATACATCCAAAAACATATTTGAAAATTAAGGAAAACAAGCATTATTACTATTAAGTTAACATGTTAGAAATCTCATATTGTAACTAACATAAATGTGACCACTGAAATTGCCTTAACGAGCCTAGAGAATTAATGTATCAAAATGTTAACATCTCAACTTGCTTTTACATTTCAAAACATTTTGAATTTTATAATACAACATCTGCAAACAAATGTAAAACGTTTTAGATCACTCTAAACTTGACTGACGGTACCCAGTAAATCTAGGCATGTAAATGGATGGGTCACACAGCTAGTGCTAAGTTACTAATAGAAGACTTAGGGAGTGTTTGGAATCTCTCCCGTCAGCTAACTCCGCTCCGCGCGAGAAGCGCGGTCTGAGCCGCTCCCAGCAATAGTGCTGGTGCTCCTTCCACTCCGGGAGCTGCTGTGGCGGAGCGGAGTGTATCCGAACATGGCTTTAATAGACAACTGCGGTGACTGATCCACTGGTTCTTCGCTTTCTTGGCTGTAGCTTCTATGTTTATCCTGTACGACGATGGATCAATTGATTTTCAACCGACTAGTAATACCCAATGAAAAGGAAAAGCCAGATTGTTAAATCTCAGCCGATGAGACTTAACGATGCTATATTCATGACACATCTTATACGAAGATTCGTGTAAAATTTTGTTTTATTTTTTATTTATTCTTTTTATATGTTTTGTCACTTGATGAAATCTCAGTCGATTGAAGTCTAACCATACCTAGAAAGAAATTTATCCTTTGATGTTCATTTTCTTCGGAAGACAATTTTTTCCCACGGTTACTGAGTCTTGATCGGTGGCCTGGTTTAACGCAGGAGCTTTACGTGGTCAGCTGGGAGAGTGGCGAGACTGCCCGTCTGCCGCGAGAGAGGTACCCGAAGCCGCTCATCTTCCACGACGGACGCCTCGCATTTCTGCCCACCGCCCCCGCCATGCTCGCCTTCTTCCTGTTTTTGCCGCTCGGTTTTATACTCTCCGTCATCCGCATCTCCATTGGCATCGTCCTGCCATACAACATCAGCTTTGCAGCCAGCGCGCTCGCTGGGGTCTGCTTCCGCACCTCCGGCCGCCGCGTCCCGGAGGCCGGCGCCAAGCGCAGGGGCGTCCTGTTCGTGTGCACGCACCGGACGCTGGTGGACCCGATCATGCTAACCGCCGCGCTGCAGAAGCCGGTGCCAGCCGTGACGTACAGCCTCAGCCGGCTCTCCGAGATCATCGCGCCCATCAAGACGGTGCGGCTGACGCGCGACCGCGACCACGACGCCGCCATGATGTCGCGGCTGCTGGAGCAGGGAGACCTCGCGGTCTGCCCCGAGGGCACCACCTGCCGCGAGCCCTACCTGCTGCGGTTCAGCCCGCTGTTCGCCGAGCTGGCCGACGACATGGAGCCCGTGGCGCTGGACGCGCAGGTGACGTCGCTGTATGGCACCACGGCCAGCGGCCACAAGTGGCTCGACCCCGTGGCGTTCTTCGCCAACCCTGTGCCCGCGTACCGGGTGGAGTTCCTCGGCGCCGTGCCACGGGATCAGACGCGCGCAGGCGGGAGGACCAGCGCCGAGGTAGCCAACTGGGTCCAGCGCCGGCTCGGCGAGGCGCTTGGGTTCGAATGCACCGGGCTCAGTCGCCGTGACAAGTACATCATGCTCGCCGGGAACGACGGCGTGGTCCGCAAGTAGAGGACTCGCGCAGCAGCTGAGCGTGTTCTCTAAATACAACCGTCCTGCAAATCAAAATTCGCCAAATATTAGTCACTCCTATCCGGAAGTAACGTAATCTGTTCGGGGAGTAGTGGATCTATTGAGTTTTCTCTTACTCGTGTGTTGACAAAAACTGGTTTGCTGCCAGAGTCGATAAATAAACGACTGTACTGAAATCTAATCAAACAACGACCTCTTGTTTTTTTCTTTTTTCTTTTGAAGCTACGACGTCTTGTTGTTAAGGGCATTTCTAACTCCCTAAAAGTTGGGATGATCGGGCAGAATAAAATTAGTGAAGTAAATTTTTACTCCATTAATGTTGACTGCACCCAGTCAATCATATTTAAAACAATACAGTGGCTGGCCAACTCGTTTGGAGAATGCTCCCTCCAACAGTTTCTTTGCTGGCCGTTCGATGAGGGTTGACTAAGTCTTTTTTCGCGTTTTGCCCGTCCGATCGTTGCTAGAATTCATTCCTGTGGATTTTACCGAGCGGTGGATCATGGCTAGGGATGACGTGTGGGCCTGGCGCTGTATCCACTTGGATCGAAACGCCTGGGTGCTGCTTCGTCCGGTGCGCGGGCGCGAGGCAGCCGCTCGTGCCGCGCCGCGTGCGCTAGGTATTCTTCTGTTACCCTCTCGCTGGCTGGTGCTCCGGCTGCAAGTGGGCCTCGCTGACGCATGGCCCCGCGCGTCAGCTTCCTGGTGTCTTTTTCCCGTGTGCGCGTTGCCCGTTTCACCTGCTGACCTCATGATTCGGCCGGCCCGGCGCATGGAGAGTGGGCGAGCGGAGTGGGCGAGCGGTCTCGTCTCGCTCGTCTCGTCGAACGGCAACGCCATGCCGCGTCGTTTCCGGGTTGTACTGCCGCTTTTTATCCCCAGGTCATCGATCACCATCTTCTGCGCCGTCGTTGGTCGCTGCTGCTTGGGACCCGCGTTCGCTGGTCCCGCGCGTCACTGGGCTTGAGTGCTTGCGTGCGTTTGCTTTGACCCGTCGCCGATCTGTGCGCGGCTGGGCGGGATGGGTGGTGGCTCTGCTCGGGTTGGTGGTTCGGCTGGATTCGCTCGGGCGTTCGTGTGCTCTGCCGCGTGCTGCTGACTGTGGGACATGCGATGGGACGGGGCCACTGGTCCGTTGCTCGTTGGTTTATTACTATACGTATACTTGCGCGTGGCCTCGCTGGTGGCCTGTTACTGTTCCCTACGCATGGGCGGGGCCGATGGATGTGCGTGCGGTGCAACGTGGGTACGCGTGACGCCCGGCGTGACCGGCGTGTGCGTCGGCGGTGCGCATTCTGGCGGGTGGCCTCTGTGGGGTCGTTGCAGCCTATGACAGTGGGCTCTGGAACCCCTGGGACCGACAGGTAGGCCGCGTGTCGATGCATGTGTGGTGGGTTCCCATGCGCCTCTGTGAGGATTGCCCCTGCCATCGCGGTGGCCGGGGGAGCTTTTCTCTTCGGCTTTCCCCTCTCCTCCTTCTATCCCTCATTTCCTCCACGCCGCTTCGTTCGCTCGCTTTCGTCCACGCTTCCACGCTGCCGCGTCCTCTCCTGTTCGCCTGCCTTCATCCAGTTCGGCCAGCTTACGTTGCGGTTCTCACCATGGCCGCGCGTTCCTCCATGGGTGGTGTTGGTTGAGGTTCATCTTCTTATACTTTCCATGTTCGTTTCTGCCGTTCCTTCTCCTATTTACCGACCTCCTTTGCTTGTCTTTGCTCCATTGGTGCGTAGTTTGCTGCCGATTTTCCCGTTGGCTCTTGTGTGGGAGCGTGCGCCATTACGTTCTTGTTGTCCAGGTTAGTGCTTATCTCTTTTGCCTCTGTGTGGACATATGCCTTTGAGGTGTTTGTTGAAATGGTTGGGTGCTTCTCGATAGGATGGTTGCCTGCTACCGTGTGCTCTGCTTTGCCATTTTCGTGTTCCGTTATGTGTGCATGTGCATGCTTCATGCTGTTCGTCGGTGGCTAATATGAGTATAGTTTGTGTTTTAGGTTGTTTTCAGGTTGGTCGGTTGTTCGTCCATGTTCGCTTGCTGGATGCTCTTCCATTTGTGCTTCGTCATTCCGGTAATGTGCTTCTCTTTTGCATGTTTGTCTCTATTTCTGGATTGTCGAGAGATGCATTGCTTAGTGATAGCCCGAAACATTAGGTCCGAGAAGATGTCGTGCTTAGTCCGTTTTGTTTGGCTGCTGCCTCTGCAGTGGCCCTGAATGTTTATACTTCTTGTGTTTGTTACTTTGCTTGAAAAAATGCGGTGGTTGAGGTTGATTGATGGTCCTTCGCTTCCTGCATGTCTACAGTTTGATTGCTCAGTGATTAAAAGCTGCTATGGATGTAGTGGATGGTGTTTTGTTATGCTAAGTGATGTTGTTTCCTTTGGTTAAAAGAAGAATTGTTCTGGTGCCATCGTGTGGCTCTGCACTTGTTTAGTACCTTTGATGGAATATACATGTTCTCTGTGACTTGCTGTGTTCTAATGGTTCTGTCTGCATTTATTTTGTAGGTTGGAAAAGCTGATCTGTTTCTGAATCTGTGACCTGCTGCTGCTCCTCAAGGTTTGCTCTCCTTTTCCATTGCATGTTCGTTACCTGCGGGTTCAGATGTATTTACTTGTCTATGCATGTTATCATGGTTGTTGATGTACTGATAGTCTCGCTATTCCGGATCTGCTCCAGGGGCCGTGTTATTTTTTAGTTTTTTTTATAATTTCGTTGCGTGTGAGCAGGATGTGTGCTCTTATTTCAACTGTTATACTCATTTTGGAAGCCGTGGTGGCTCCGTGTTCTTTGCCAGCGCTTTTGTATCTGTGTGAGGTCACGGGGGATGGGTCCGTTCTTGCTGGGGTAGTACTAGAGCTTCCAGGGGATAGTTCTGCTCCGGTTCCGCGACGAGAATTTTTTTGGAGCTCGGCCTGGTGTGGTTTTGTCCATGCTTATGAATAGGCTGCCCTCCAGGCCACAAGTTTTTTTGCAGCTGTATGGGTTTGTGGTTCGAGACTATAATTATGACTGTATGATGGCCTATAAGAGCTCCCTTCGTTCTTCCATAACGGTTGCAGTCTCTGCCATTCGGCATGTTGGTCACTTGGAGAGAGAGCTATTGCGCTTGCACCGTACATCTGCGGAGAAGGAGATAAATCCAGATGTTGGCCCTGTCCTGGTCCAGTTCGACTGGGGTCTACTCTGCTCTCAAATGCTTTCCTCTCTTCAATCTCTTTAGCTATCTTTTTTGGGCTACTTATTTGGGCCTACGTGCCTGCTTTGTACTGAATTGGTTCATTCCTCTGATGCAATAAAGTCCTTGGGATTTCTATATGGCTCTTACAGTGTCTTCTTTCTGCGTTTTGCAAAACTGAAAAGAATAGTCTTCTTCTTCGGATTCAATGCTCTTCCCACGTGCCCAAATAATAAATAGGTTACTTGTTTATTGATTCTTCCTCGGCTGGGTCTCTGGTCTTTGGACCGCCCCCTTCTCTTATAGAGAAAAAACTAGCACGGGCTTTAGAGGACCCTGTTCCTTTTGGGCTTCTGGTTCTTCATGGGCTTTTGGGAAGGTATTTCTTGGGCCACGAACTTTAGAGAATCTTGTTCATTTGGGCTTATAGTTTCCCATGGGCTCTTGGAAAGGTGTTTCGTGGACTTGCTCTCTCTCTCTCTCTCTCTCTCTCTCTCTCTCTCTCTCTCTCTCTTGTCTTTTTCCCACTCGGATTTGTTTGATGGCCTTTTCCTTCTGCCTATGTATTTTAAAAAGGCTTACAGTTTACTTTTGGGATGCCTCTCCCTTTCATTTAAAAAAATAGTTCCATGCCCTTTATAGAGCCTTGTCTTTTGAATTCTATTCTTGGGTCTAGGTGTATGCCTTTTTGTTGTTTAATGTGCCTGACTAGATTGCCTTTCTTTATGTTACGTTCATGTTGCAGTGTGTTATGGTTGTTCTGTTCTTCATGTCGTTCCTGTGAGTCATGCCTCAAGTCGTTCTGTTCATCGTAAGGCCAGTTCAAGCACCAGTCAACCACCTCCACGCCGTGTTGTTCGACGAAGGCTGTCTTTCTGTGACTCGTCGTTGCCCTACATATCCTCAGGCCTACCTAAAAGAGAATGCACGGGGTTCCCTTTTAAAATAGGTCCTTTTCCTTTATGGGTGTGCCTCCTGCACTCTCTCGATTCCTCTTCGTACCTGTGACACGCCCTTTGTTTTTTCAGATGATGGTTTCTTCCCCATTCTTAGTCTAGAAATTATGTCCCATAATAGAAAGAGATGCAGGGTGGCTGTTGATAGACTTAGGGGAAAGGGGCCTGCCATTGGATCACCCTTAAGTGCTGACTGGGTTGGATTCACGACTGAGGAGTCTGAGATGCTGAAAGGTATGCTGAGTGCCGATATGCCTAGAAACTATTGTATGATGCATTGTTGATTTACCATTGTTACTAAGTCAAGATAAATTTGCAGATGGGTACCGAAAGAGATCTTTCTACGGTGGCCCAGACTACAAATGTACCAACTGTGGTGCAGTCTTCTGGTTCGAGGAGAGGGTGAGATCGGAATCCGCTATTACGCTAAGGCGGGTGGTTTACAACAAATGTTGCAAGGGTGGTAAGGTGTATATTACACCTTTTAACAAGCCACCCTTGTTTCTCTCTGAGTTGCTGAGATACAATGGTCCCTCACATAGCAGAGAGTTTATAAAAAAATTCGTTAGTACAATTACCTCTTTGCATTTACTTCCATGGGAACTACTATTGACCGTTCTGTAAATGATGGTAATGGTCCAAATATATACAAAATAAACGGGCAGGTTTGTCATCGAATGGGATCTCTTATGCCTAAGCAAGGAAATACCCCTAAGTATGCCGAACTCTATGTATATGATACCTAGAATGAGGTGCAAAACATGATTCGGGCTTTAGAAAAGGGTGAAAAGAGTGATGGTGGTTTAGATGAATCTATTGTTGAAGGCTTGATGCATATGCTTGATACACA